GAAACAACTATATAATCTGTGTAATGTATACGTGTACATATATGTAAATATAATTTTATAAGAAATGTAATATGAATTTACATTTTAATAATAGTTTTATTTTATAAATAAAATTTTTATATTTCATAACAAAAAATAATGTTAAAATAATTTTTTCTAATTATACAATTTTAATTTTCGATCTTTAAAGAACATCCTTGATATTTCATATTTTAAGCTGCATTTGTTTTAAGCGGAATACTTGAACATTGTTCATATATCGTATCAACTTTTTATTTCTAATTATTTAATAATATTAGAAAAAATATTGTTTTATATTATTTTACATTATTAGATATAACATTATTTTTATAATAATAAATTTACGTTTTCTAATTTTAATTCTTGATCTTTCGAAAAAATGTTTTGATGGTTCATATTTTAAATCATATTTTTTATAAAGAGTTATTCGATACGCGCTATTGTTACACGTTATTGTTACATATTGTTATTCGTGCACTATATGAATTTTTCATTCTTTCAACTTCCGAAACAAATTTCCGATGAGACTACAAATCGAATCAGTGTTTATAATTATAATATTGAAATAAGATGAAAATTTAGAAATAATCATTATCGCATTATCGAAAAATCTCTCAAGTTCGAGGAAATGTTCGTATCATTAATCCACGATTTAAAAGCGGTAGTAATGTTAATACGTTAATCGTAATCGCGCGCACGAACGTCGTTTGTTTGCGTTTTCGACGATTAATGCACGCAATTTATGCGCGGTTTATGCACACTCGCGGCAAATCGACGATAGTACGCCGGACTTTCGTGTTTACAGCATGGGGGATTCCGTTTACGCAATCGTGAATATCGCCCCGGAATATTTGCGTCGATGCGGCGGTCATTGGTGTAATGCCCCCCCCCCCCTCCCCACCCCTGAAAATACACGCGTGCACCAATATATCGGATATCCAGTGCAGCAGCAGTTTAGTGCGTTACAGTTGTTAACGGCAGTCGCGCCGAACTTGGCAATTTAACGTTCTAGGCGCGAACGCGCGTCGCGCCATACATATTCAGTGGCCTAATAATTAGGAGTTAATACACCTGAGCGCCATTATTTCAATTTAATACCATGGTGCCATGGCAAAATCGCAAATGTTCTCACGCCCGCAAAATCACCATTGAGAGACCGACGCGCGTCCCCTCGCGTCGCGACATTGAACGTTGCATAATTCGTGCTCTATGCATTTATCATCTTTGGTCTTAGTTAATTCCACAAACAGTAATCAACGATTACCTATTCAATTTTCAGCCGGAGATTTCGATTTTTTTAACGAATCTGTGCTTCTCTCTCTCTCTCTCTCTCTCTCTCCGGCCGACCGACGGAAAAAATCTCCGGTTAACCGCTCAAAATTCTGATGAACTTTTTTTAAATGCGTGCGTCCATTTTTTTCTGGTTTCGAAAAAAAATTCCGACAGATGGATTGCATTCGATGATCTTTTTTTTTTTTTTTAGAAAGAGTGCTAAAAAAGGATAACAGTTTCGCCGATTTCGCAAAATATTGAAAAGAAATATTCTAAATCCTATATTTGTTGGAATAGTATTAAGTATTTACTAAATATAAACATATATATATATATTTATTTACAAGAATATTTATTTGATATAAGTTTATTTTTTTTATTGAGTAAATATTGATTTACTATAAGTAAATATTTAGTTAGTGCTATTTAAACAAATATATTTATGAAAATTTAGTACATTTTTTCAATATACAAAAAAAAAACGTTCAAAAGTAGCAAATGTGACAGTAACGTTATTATCAATATAATGAAGAATCTTTGAATGTTATTAATGTTCTACAATAACTAATCATAAACATATCAATCTGGATATTGACAAGAGGATTAAATAATGCAATAAAATAGGAAAAAAAACACGAATTATTAATTCTTTTACATAAATTTAATAATCTACGATATAGGAATACTTTTTATTATATTACATCTATTTCATTACGCTGCAATCTTTGCAGGATATAACATTTTGCAAATACGAACGAATAAATGAGGAGCAATAGCTCAAAGATAACGCATTCTGGTTCGCCGAGCACAAAAAGCGTGCACATTTGTTATGAAAAATTTCGCGTTAGACCACGAGTTTAATATGGAGATAAAAGGAAACGTTCTTCGTTATACGAGAGGAGGACTATTTAACAGCGAAAGCACACAAAGCCCGGATATATTAGCGTACGCGGAAAAGATGACCACCGTCGTCGCGTACCGCACACAATAGAAGATTCGGTTTTTGTGCCGGCAATGAATATGTCGTCCGTGCAAAAACAAGCTGTTAGATCCACGCGACGACAATTATTTTGTGCGAACGCGCTGAGCGAGCGAGCGCATTATTTGGACAAGAGCAGACGCGCCAGGCGTGTTCGAGGACCCTCGTTCCTCTCACTTGTACACGCATTACGCGCGCGTGGAAACCGCGCGCGACGACAGGTCATAACATGGTGTACGTTTTGTCGTCGCTCCCCTTTCGTTCGCTGTTAATGATCGTACGTTGCTCGCGGTAATTTCGCGTCGCGTTCCGGATCACTCGGAGGCAAGAGATACGCGGTGACAATATCTGTTTCCTGAAAACGTCGAGAATATGATGCGAAGAGAGTGACAATTAAATATTGCCGAGATGATCGTGTTGTTTCATAAAATTGTACGAAATATTCCAGCGTTTACCGTAAAGTTATATTTATCACCATTATCGTATGTACAATAATATGAAATTGTTTAAAAAAATTGAATCCTTTCCAAAAACGAGGTTCGATTTTCGAAAGGAAAATGAACTATAAGTTAAAATGTGATAAATTGATAAAATTGCTAAGATAAAATTGAGTACCTAATTGTCATTTCTGCATTCATATTTTACACGGAAAGAACGATTTTATGCTGAGGTATCTAAAAATTTAACTAGATCTGAAAATAATTTTATTGAACCATTAAAATAAAAAATTACGTAAGAATCTCAAGCATGATGAGGAATGCTGGGAAAAGTTCTGATATTCTAGTAGCTAGTTTGAGGTCATACATCATACAGCGATTTCCATCTAATTATTTTGATAGTCCAACAAAAGATGTCCTTTTCGTCCAAGCATTATGAACGTAAATTATCATTCAAAATTATTGCTTTTTGTTTTTAGAAAAAATTCAATAGCTATCTTCTAAAAAAAAAAACATAATTTAAAAAAGAAATATCTTTTTGTTTGAGAACATTTTCTATAATCAATAACGTTACCAAGAGATGACGTTTATATTTTATTCATAATTCACTCCAGAGAAATTAATTCCCACTCTAGTGTCAAATTCCCACTGCAGTTTCTAATTAAGAGATATGAAATTAAATTAATAAGTCCCTCCTTTACGCTCGACACGCTTTTTAATAATCGCACGAAAGTAATTCTTTCCGAGCTGTTCTTTTCTCCCAACGCTTTACAGCTTTTTTTTTTTGATATTAAGCTACCGACGTGAATACTCCACGAGGCGACCACCGTATTCCACGTTGCACCAGGTCATGGTACGCCTGACCCAACTCCACTATGTTCGGAGAACAGGCACACGTAGTGCCCGTAGTATACCTAGCAAACATTAGCAATAATCCCACCGCAGCTATGCGACATACGTACGATAATAGTTATTATCATCCCTTCCCCTTGTGTAAGGGAAACTGTTCTGCCTCGTGATATTCCGACGATACAGCACGCGAGAGCGTTTCCCGTGGAAAGGTAATCAACGCCGACTGAAATTTCCACGAGGGCGGTAAAATCTTTCGTGGTAACATTAAACCGAGTGAGAGCGAGAAGGATCCTTTTCTCTTCATTGCGAGAAAGAGGAGAAGGTTGAAGAGGAGTAAGAGGAGGAGGATCGTAATCAGAAGGTTCCGAGAGGACGTAGAAGATGACGACGACGACGACGACGTGGTGGAGAGCAATTTTCTGTTGAGAAACCTGCTTGCACCCGCCGTGCCGCCTTATTACTCTTTCCTCTCTCCCTCTTCTCGTCATAGTCCTGCCGCGTGGCAGGACGAGAGAAATCCTTTCCATCCACTCGAATCTTCTCCCTTTCGCGCAGTGCATCGGTGGAGATCCTTATTGCTTCCTGTCGATCGACACTTGGCTAGCAAACGACAGTCAGAAATATCCTACCTAGCTATCTAGCGGTTGCCGGAATTCCGACGTCCTTTTGGTTGTCGATAGAGTTTTAAAACGCCGATTGATTTTTATAGCGTCGGAAGGAAGAGAATATCTTTTTTCATCAGCTTGTATCCTTCACGTTTCCGTTCGTTTTTATGGATCTCATTTTTTTTTGCGATTCGGAGTTTTATGTACATTTTACACTCTGTATTCTGGCAATTCTCGTGTTACATTAATACTAAGATTATCCTAATATCAAGATCCTAGTATTAGATTTGATAATTTCTATTATATAGTAATATACTCGGTATAATGATAAGAAAAATAAAATTAATATTACATAAAAAGAACGATTTTGCTGAAGTATTTCGATAAAATAAAAATTTAGATAGATGCATGATCTACAAATAATTTTATTGGAGTATTAAAACAATTATGTAGGAAACTCAAGTATAATGACGCGGCAAAAAGTTTTGACATTCTATAATAATCAGCTACAGCTATAATAATCAACTACATCAACTACTGATTAATTTGCTAAAATTTTTCATCGAAAAATATGTTGAGTAATAATAGAATCAATCAATATGTAAATTAATATTATTTGATATAAATTAAAATATTTTTCCTAAAGAAAATTTTGAAATTGAATACCAATTCATTTTCTCTCTTCATAATTGTAAGTTTATTCTATAGAGTTTTCTATAGATTTAGCAGTTAAATTAAACGTTATACTAAATTTTTTTTTTAGCACTTTATAGCAAATATTTGTAATTCCTAATTTGATGTTCTGAAATGAGAATATAAGTTACTTTTACTTACCTTCAATGAGTTGGTCCAGCATAGCATAAATGTGAGAAGTCGCTTCGTCAGTCATGACCCAGCCTCCGGTGGTCATTTCTAGTCGGCCGTCCTTGACTAATCTTTTTATGACCATCTTCTTCGTCGGGTGAGCACTGAAAATGAAGATAAAACTTCTTATGATAAGAGAAAATGAACGCGAATTTAAAACAAAAAATAGAATTGAACTTTTTCCAAAGATTAGGTTAAGAATATCTTTCAAGTTTTAAAGAATTTATCAGTAGAGAAAAAAATAGAACGTAAGGAAATAATGTAATATCAAATGTTTAATAATTTAACATAAAATTTTAAAAACGTACAAAAATATATTATGCTTAAATTCTGGCTTGAAAAATCGACTCTAAATTCAACAATAAACAAAAAAATGAAGATTATATGTATGAAATCGATTTGTATTTTACACAGACAATCGTTCTCCACCATAAATGATTAATCCCAGTTCGACTTTGGATCAACGTCGAATTGAATCATTCTCGCGTGACTTGTCCTGACTCGCGTTTGTTTTATACTAGCTATCATGCAATTCGGTTGCAAATCATATTTATCGCTACCGCCGTCGCATTTCAGCCAGCTAGGATTTACGTGATTTGTGCGTCCGAGTGTTATGTACGACCTACATATCCTTCCCTATTCGAAGGTGGTTTCCACATTACGTCGTTTATGTCGGCCATAAAGCCGCCACGGATTCCACCTACTATATGTCTCTCTTTCTTTCTCTCTCTCTCTCTCTGTTTTCCCAGATGGCTAGTAGGTTGGTTTAAGGTCGCTAAAGCTAAGGTGGTTACGCCCAGGCCAAACTGGGGCATTTTGAAGATGAGCTTTCCTCGACGTGGATCTGTTTAAACTGCATCGCCACCGATGCGATAAATTTTTTATGCGTCAGATGCCGATACAATTTCCTAGCGTTTTACGTTCTTAGGGTTTCAATGTATGTCGGTGCAATCAGCCTGATTGGTTTATACAAAATTTTAACAACGAATATATTTCGAAATAAAATACAAAATAAAAATGATTATTCTAAACTATCTCATTTTTTAATCTTGAGATAAAAAACGTAATTTTACTAAAGTTAAGTATTAAAAGACAATTTCTTTTAAGTATTAAAAGAAATTGTCTGTGTATCTAGATTGTAATTTACTAAAATAAATCAAATATGATAAAAGATCTTTAAAAATAAATATGGAAAGTATTCAATAATCTTAGAAAAAAGAATATAATTATTTTTAAACTCAACACACAAATAGGAAATAGAAAATGGCCATAACGATCGAAGCTGAATTTTTTTAATGCTTAAATAATTCAATGTGAATCTGTATGTACTATATGCATATATGCTATATTTGTAGTAATTTCGTCAACTGCGCGTCGAAATTTTATCGGTTTAAAAACGCAGCTAAATTACTAGAATAAATATCATCATTAAATTTTAATGCTTAATAGGCATCTATTAAAGAGATCTTTATATGCTGGAAATCTGTAAGTAAATTTATAATGTAATTATTTTTAACACACGTTTATTTAAAGAATGATTGTAAATTATACATTTATCAATTGCGATTATTTAAATAATTCTATTTTATAACTATTTTTTATCATCTTAATTATTAATTAAGTATTATTTTATATTGATTTAACAAAAATTAAATATAATATATAAAAATAAAATAAAAAATATACTGTAAACTCCAATGGGATATAAAAGTATAGAGCTATTTAGAAAAATACATTTCAAATGTATGATTGTTTTATATTTTAATAGTCAATGATAAACGAGAGCAATTCTTTAAAAAAAAAAAACAAATATATTAAAAATTGAAGTTATATCTTAAATATTGTTAGTATACATTACATGCACTAAAAATACATAGTATGATATCTAATCACCAATTATTATTGATTATATCTTGTTGTGATTTTCAGATAGAGTTCCGAGTTAAAACCTTCAAATCTTCTAAATGTGCCAAGATAATTCTTTTAAAATAAATATTCATGTTTCTCAAAGCTTTATTTTCATTATGATTGACGAGATATTTTTAATCAGATTTGCGTCCGGACATTGAGAATGCCAATCCATCGATCGATGTCATTTTTACGTTTATGAAAATCTCGTAAAAAGCATGTCTCATGAAAAGCATGATGACAAGCTATAATTAATGAAAATAGCACAACATAATAAGTAAATGCATTTTAATGAATGTAACGTACTTTTAAAATATAACTTTAATTTTTAATATATTCTGTCACAGAACTGCTGATGATGTTCTTGTACCACTGACTGTATCTTAAGGCTTTCAATCGATTATATACAGGGAGAAGTTATATAATACCGGTCGTTCTACGTTTTTGTAAAATAATTTGAGAGACTTAATGAAAATTAAAAAAAATTTTTTATTTATATTATTATTATAATTCAAATTATATTTAATAAAAGAACGGAAATTATTTTAAAATTGGATACAAAGATTGATAATTAGAGCTCTATAAAACTAACAAGACTAAATCAGTAGAATAAATCGGACTATCGGAATTTTTAGTATTCATTTTGTACTAAATTGTATTATTAATGATAATTTTGTACCTTGTGCCATTTCGAAAAAAATTGCTAGTTTAATATTAAACTGCCAGGAACAATTCAAAATAAAAGAAAAGAAGAAAAATAATAGAAATCAATAATCAGAAATCAATACGATTGAATTTGTACTGTTTTGTATTGCCAAAAACAATTCTATATTATGTCATTTCCAAAAAAAAATAATGGCGCTGCTAATTTAAGATTTAAGCTGGCAGGATATACCAAAAAAAAAACAACACAAGGGCAAAAATTAACACAACTGAATTTGTACTAATTTGTACTATTGAAAATAAGTTAATATTTTACATGTCTCCTTAAATGACTTTATTAGTATATATAAAATATTTAAAATCTATGAGATATTCCACGTCAAACTGGGCATTTTTGAAACATCGTTTTATTTTATTTTTTTTTAATTTGCTAATCTTCTACAGATAAAAATATGAGACACGTGTTTCGCGAAAAAAATACATATGACATCTTTTTTTTGTATTGATGCAAATTTAGTAAGTTGCAGAAATTCATAAAAAATGTCGCTCATGCGAATATTCAAATTATTATATCGTCGAAACGATTAGTCGTTACAAAAAAATGTAAAAGATCGATTTTAAAGATCCTTATAAAAATTTTTCACCGTTTTGATCTCATATGGACGTTTTTAGTCCGTTTTTAGCCCGTTTTTAGTCCGTTCTTGCCCTTTTCTTGCACTCACAAGCACTCGCAGTGTATCGCGAAGAACGATAACGAATATAAATGAATATACGTATGAGTATTTTTATTTTTGAGTGAATTGTTCGTTTTCAATACTCGTTTTTCCGTTGAAAGTATTTTTGAGTGGATTGTCCGTTTTCAATGTCCGTTTTTCAGCTGGTAAGTGAGAACACGTTAATACGTCCCTCTTTTAATAATCATTTATTTATCGCGTTTATTAATTATCACATCAATTTTACATTAAACGATTAAATAGTATTTTATTTTAATATATATACATATAATAATTTTTAAATATTTCATACAATATCTAATAAATTGAAATGGAATTCAAACAATAAGGTAACTCCGATATTTATATGACGCTGCGCGCCAAGATTTACGCCACAAAAATTAGAAAGAAGGAATTGGAATAATTTGCAGGCAACCAATCTATTATATATGCTTTTATGTTATATTAGTATTGTAATTTTAATTTTTTACTGTAATATTAATAATATTATTATTATGTCAGTTGAATCGATTTGTCAATGTAATAAGTAGCGCAACCTTATCATATAACTCACGTTAAATCATTGCTATAGGGAGTAAAATACAGGAAGTAAAGAAGACTTGGTTATTTGGTGATACATAAATATAGAGAGATGATAAAGAAGTATAGCAAAATACAATTTAACTTCATTCTCCGTTCGGCTTGATGTGATACATCTTCACCTGGGCTGTGTTCAGGAATTATGCCTAGATAACACTGCATTTTTGCTATAATATACGTGACGTAACTTATAGCTAGAGTAATCTGAGCGTAATTCCTGAATGCAGCCCTGTTTGGAATAAGTATATTAAATTCAATGCATTACATCATAAAACATATCATACTTCCTCACATCATAACTCTCGTAATGAATGCAAGATTAGAATTATTATCTATTATTTTTAATATATTATATATTCATCATTCATATTCCTTAATAAACTTTGTAAACACATTTAATAAACTACTGCGTCGTTTTATGTTGTATTTCCAATTATTATTTATAACTCTTTTATGAACCGTAATTCTGAGATCTTTGTGTGCGTGCGCGCGCGCGTGTGTGTGTGTGTGTTTTTATATACCTATATCTGTACATCACATATATTTGTATACAATGTATTAAATATAATTACTTTTGTAAGATGTATATAAGTAAGATGTATATAATAAGATGTATATAAGTACAACAGAGCGAATATCGACATAGGAGTTACGTGGCTCAGTGGAAAAGTGGCAGCCTCGGTAGAGCAGACTTGAAGAGCAGGCTTTGATTCGAATCTCGACAGGAGCGGAGCTAATTTTCTCGTGCTATCGGTTATGCTTTACTACGAATTACGTAATTCAAGTGATAAAAACGTGCAATGTGAGTGACGAGTGCTAAATGAATATTTTGCACTCGTATACGTTTTTTCATCTCAAATTTACGCAGCACATATTTACCACTCAAAAATACTCGTAATGTATATGTTTTTATCACTCAGATATACTCGTGTCCTGCATGAGTGCAATCCGTTTTAACCACTCATTTTACGTAAAAGTTCCTGTTTGCGACCTAAAAACAGAGTCGTACTCATTGAGTAAAATGTACGTTTTCACCACTCAAATTAACCGTTCGCGCGAACTAAAAACGAGCTAAAAACGGCCAAAAATTTTTATAAGGGTCGTAAATTGTTCTATGGATGGGTTATTTTTAATTTATCATTTTCATATAAATAAATCATTTTCCCTATTTATTTACAATTTTTATCAATATTTTTTATCATCGACTTACCAATTAAAAAATTTTGTAAAAATATCATTATATTCCCATTTCAATTATGAAGCAACTCTGAAAATTTCAACATAGAACTCGAATAGATTGTATAGTTAAAAAATTCGAGTTCCATTTTGAAATTTTCATGGGAATATAATGATATTTTTACAAAATTTTTTAATTGGTGAGTCGATGATAACAAATATTGATAAAAATTGTAAACAAATGGAGAAAATGATTTATTTATATGAAAATGATAAATTAAAAATAACCGATCCATAGAACAATTTACGATCTTTAAAGTCTTTAATTTATTTTCAATGGTACAAATTAGTACAAATTCAGTTGTGTTAATTTTTGCCTTGTGTTGTTTTTTTAATGGTCCTGCTAGCTTAAATCTTAAATTAACAGCGCCACTGTTTATTTAGAAATGACACATAATATAGAATAGTTTTTGGCAATACAAAATAATACAAATTCAATCGTATTGATTTCTATTGATATTATTTTTTTTCTTTTCTTTTATTTTGATCTTGCCAGCTTAATATTAAGCTAGCATCGCCACAATTTTTTTCGAAATGGCACAAGGTACAAAATTATCATTAATGGTACAATTCAGTATAAAATGAGTACTAAAAATTTCGATGAGTCTAATTTGATTCTGCTGATTTTCTTTGGTCTCGCTAGCTTTATAAAGCTGATAATTAGCAAAAAGCGAGGCAAAAAGGAAAAGAATTCAAGGTTGTGAAAAAATTGTTGTATCTACTAGCAATAAACTCAATAGATTTCTAGATGAAAATGACTAAAATATTTAAATCATTTAAATTTTAAAAGTCTTTGTAAATTATTAAAATTTACGTAATACATATTTTATGATACGTAAGACATATGAAATTATATATATAATGTTTTCCTTGTAAACTGTAACGTTCAAAAAATCATGTATGTATGTACGTGAATATACATTACATATATGATTTCTTGAACGTTACAGTTTAAGGCCAATATTTAATATATCAATAAAGTACAATAAGGTTTTATGAAGCCCTTTGATTGGTTGCAGACAAAGAGGGGGGTTCTCAGATCTCTCCATCCTACAGCTAATTAAAAGACTTTAAAACAAACATTGTACAACATAAAACATCGGCCTAAGAGTTAAAACCCTTACAGGTTGGCCGATGGAATGAAAGACGAGATATTTTTGAATATCTTGCATCGTTATATAAACAAAATGATCATATCAATGCTATTTTCTTACAGCTGATAGACTAAATAAAAATATAGTATATATAATGCGATAAAATTATTTAATTGTCTGAGAAACAAGAGATCAGCTCTGAAAAATAATTTTTGTCCAAAACACACGCTGTCAACAAGAGCTCTATTCGCTACGATTTAGTAATACGCGGATTACGATGATATATAAAACAATAGGATGCATCCTTTCGTGTACGTACAGCGTTATCATCTAATGGGACAAGTAAAAATTAATTTTGATCGATATATAAGCTAATCAATATTATATGATTTTCCTCTAGATTATAATTATTTATCATTTCTTCACTGATTGCTCTTCAATTGAGATTGCATACCTGACAATTCGTAAGCATTCGTATTTCCATTCCCATTTTTTTTCAATGATCCAATAAAATCGATTCGCGCGGCATGACTAAACCTTCAAGTAAAAATTACTTTTGAGCAAATCTGCAGGATTTTCACATTCTGTCTCTAACAACTGGAAGAGAGTAATGAAAGCGAGCTCCCCAGTGAAACTCATCTGGAACTTATCATTTTATCTGTTCTCTTTGGAATCCACTCGTGACACTTCTCCGTCTTTTTCATCCCTACTTCATCCACGGCTTTTCCGCGGCTCGTTAAGAAGAGGAGAACTGCTACCCGGCGTTGTTCTCGAGTTTCCGCTTCGTTCTTCCAAGCGCCAAGTGACTCGAGAATCACCACCATCCAGTTTCCGATACGATCGCTCTCATCCTCCCGGCCTATTTTACAACAATCCATTTCCAAGAGAGATGCTTGCGTGCGAAAAACGGTTTGTTTAACGCACGAATGCTCGGACAAACGTTTGTCTTTAATTAGAATAGAAATGTAGAAACCAGTGTCAGTATACATAGAAGCGTTCTCAAAAGAGTAAAACAATGTTGATAGGAAGCTCGTCAATCGTGTCGCGAGTTTGAATTTCGAAAATAGACAATGAACGTTGCGTTACTAAATATGTACAATTATTCGAGGCTATAAGTTTTCGTTTATACAACGCTTTATTTGAGAGTTCCATTTTATAATTTCAGGAAAAGCTCACGAGATTACGAAAATCCATAGATTAGCACACAAATGCACTGGTGTTTGTCTTTAATTACAAATGCATAAGTCAATATTCGTATTAATAAGTCACCCCTTCAGAGAAATATTAATTATACCTTGTGAATTCTGGGAATGCTTTAGAGGAAATTTGCACGGTGTCGTTTTGAAAATTTCATTAATTTTTATTTATCTTGTATAATATCATTTAATTATTATTTGCGTTATTCTTTCTATATTTAACTATTTATTACATATATATATATATATATATGTATTATTATTATTATCATACTAGTTTTCAACATTTAAACATAAAAAAGGAAGTGTTCGTTTTATGTAAATATACGTATATTATAATTTGAAGACAATTTCTCGATGTATTTTCTGACATAAAGTATTTGAAGTGTTTCCTCTCTTTTACTGTAAATATTTCAAAACATTTGATCGCGCATGTACATAGAATGCACTCACCTGTCCCACCATAGTGATAAGAATGAAACCTCGCTCCAGATAAAGGTCATGTTCGGCCATTGTTGCAGTTTCGAGACCATGTTATTTAGGATGCTCCTCGTAGAACTGTGGAAATACTGCTCGAATGTCTTCAGCCATCCTGGATCGGTGTGACTGTGAGGCACAAGGATAACCTGCAACAGAGAAACGCGATACCATCGTGAGTTTTATCAGAAACGTGCCACAAATAGTAATATGCCGTATAGGTTAATGCTGCCTTTCATAAAATATTTAGTATAGCCGGAAGCATTATTAACGATTCTTGGTAAAAGTGATAATTAAATGTAAAATGCGGAAATTTCCTGTATTCGAGTGAATATAATTTCAAAAATCTTTAACTTAAAATTAAAGCACTTTATATTTATTCATTTATTTATTTATTCATTTATTTATTCATTTATTTATTTATTTATGCGTAATCTTATCTATATTATTCTTATTTTTTATTAATTTATTTATTATTTTTTATAATCTGATTTTTGTACCGCGCATTAACATAATTAATTTAAATTATATCCAGGAACAACATTTCGAGTTGTTTTCTGATAAATTATACGACTTGATTTCTTAGATTAATAAAAAAATTAATTAAAAGCGGCAGAATTTTTCAAGGATAAATGCTTGTTATCAATGGAATTGATGTTTTCTATTAAAATTAATGGAACAATTTCTGTTATTCGCTAATCATTAAAGACAACATCAGTAGAATAGAATTTTACTCGATGATGCGATCGAAATAACGATGCTGTCTCGTCAAAATTCTATATCGATGGTCTAATTCTCATATTTGTTAATCAGAATCTTTCGAAATGATCTATTACCCAGTACAATTCAGTCAATCTCGATTTTCGACAGTAACAGCTTGCTAACATGGGGATTCGTTAATTAGCTCGTGCAATATCGACATCAGCTTGACGATGTTGATAACGACAATGTAATTGATACACTGTGCCGTGTCTCATCATTATTAATCTGTATTCGCAGTTGAGAAATGAACCGGCAGAGACGATTTGCGCGATTTATTAGTTTATCTCTGAACTCGCGCTCTCTCGGCCGCATTTAAAAAGAGTGTTTCAATCTGTCTCGAGTATCGACGTGTCGATATTTGAAGTGGAGTGCGAACGACATTCCTCTCTTTTTCTCTTCCCCCACTCGACTATGCGGGTGTGTGCCATCGTGCGATTTTTTTTATTGCTGCTCGCTTTGTTGCTAATACTTCGCACTGGAATGCAATTAAAGGGCGACCGGATTTTTAAATCGTGAGAGTGAGCCCGAAGGTGAACCTGATGTAGACTCGAATGCTTCCGCAATACATTGCTCTCATTTCGTTGGAAATGATAATTATTACAACGACAGTTTCATCAGATTGCAAAAATTAAAATACGTTAAATGGCATAGGTACGCGAGAAGCGAGATTGTATGAGATTACTTCGTGTGCAAGCTCATGTGATCACATTGGCTAATTCATGTTCCAGTTAAAGCCGCACGATATTGTGTAATCTTCTAATTCATAATCGATACTCAATTCGATCCTCTTTCGTTGTATATTCATACTGAGAATAGGCACACGATAAGTTCGATCAATTCTAGATAACCGGTCGCGATAACTGTCTCTTTCCTCTCTTCCCCTCCCTGTCTCTCTTTCTCTGTAATGACATGGAATAGTGGAACGACAATGTCAATATCGTGTAATTGATATACATACTGCTATAGCAAGTTAATAATTCAAATGACGTGAGATACAACGTTGCGCTCGACACAATACGAGCGATTTATTATGTGTTGTCGGCGGTGAATTTATGCAATTTAGGACGCGTCAGTAGACGATAATGCCTCCAAAGTTCCAAGTTTTATACTTTCTTCGTTGTACGAATTCGGAAAAGTGACACTTTTGACAGGTATCTTTTTGCATGATAAATTACATGAATTATTTTCACGCGATTACTCGTATTATTTAAATCTTTAATTCTTGTAACTGAAAAAAATGTCACGATATAAAATATTATGACGTATCTAATATATAATAAAAAATTGTACGCGGTAAATTATAATGATACTTTTATTTTGACGTATAGCTATCGAGAGAAAATAAAATTATTCTGATTGTTATAAAAAACACAATAAAATATGATTAAAATAAATTAAATTATTTTATCATTATACTGCATTTCTGATTCTTAATTTAAATGTGAATAGTTTTTCACTTTTTTCGCAGATTTTAAAAATACAGTCTCAATGGTCTCGAAAGAGTAAATAGATACGCTTCGGTTTTTCGTTTCGCGAGCGCAAGTACTTTTGGCGAAGCCAGTCGGATATTTGATTTGCAAAGCTACACAAGGCGGCGTAAATCTTTTAAGCGGGAATCAACTCACAGCGGTAACTGTCATTAGTCGTCGTCCCTCCAAGCGTTTCGACCGAGCTCTGCGTTTTCACCGAGATTTCGGGCTCTGGTCACCGCCGCCGCCGCTGATCAAATTCGCGTCTGCCTTAATTTCATTTCGCGCTCACTACGCGGACAAATTGGAACGTTCTTTCGCGCGGAACGCGCTCCCGAATTTGCGAAAGCTCTCTCGTTAATCAAAATTCGTTTCGCTGGCCGTATCCCGCCTGTCACGTCCGTCTCTCTTCTCTCTCCAGGACGACGGATAACGTTATTTCTCGGCGCAATGTTTATCGCTGATTATTTTCTATCCAATGTTTATTCTCTTGACGAAAGGAATATTTTTTCCAAGTGATAGGGATTAAAATCTTATTTCATCGCTCGACACTATTTTAGGAGAATGAACAATATACATAAAGTTCACGAAAATAGTAGGGGAGACCGGGGCTAATAGACTCATTTTTCAGTTTCGAATTTTTACAGACAAAATTAAGAGACTTATCGAAAAAATGAATTCTACACCAGTTATTATATGTATTTGACTACCTAATAATATTTTAATAATAAGGGGCAACTGATAACTAATATGAAAAAAATGCATTTTTCTAATGCATTCCATCTGATTCAACTTACCCCGGGACTAAGATAATTCGACTAAGATTATTAAAATAAAGATTAATGTATTTTAAGCTACGTCTTTGGCTACATATTAATAAAACTTTCATAAAAATATATTTATAAATAATATAATATATTATATTATTTAATAATATAATATAAAAATATATTTATAAATAAATATATTTTAAAATATATTTATTTTAAACACAAACATTCGCTTCGCAGGGCAAACAATACTTCTTTTCGCAAAATTTATTCATTTCGTGCAAAAACACGTCGAATAAGCCTAGTTTTCGAGATTGGACATGAGAGAACTAAACTTATAACATTTATCACTGAGGAAAATCTCATTAAAGGAATAAAATTTTGAGTAAGTATTATAAGAGTCGTCACTAAATGAGTCATACAGTTCCATGCTGTGGTTAGTCTACTATTCCCGTTCATTTTTTAAAAACGTTAACAATATACGATAACAGAGATACATAAACAAAAAAAATCTGTTGTTGAACTTTATTAAGTAAGAATTACACTTACTATCTAAGTCAAAATCAAATATCTCAGACAATCATATATGATAATAAAACAAAAACTTTAAGAATAAAAATATTTACTTAAGTGTATGATTTTTTAAAATTGTGGCATAACTTCTATCATAGATGTGTTTGCAACAAAATGTTACAGCAGACTTAGCGGCAATCGCTGCTGCGTACTCAGACACGTTTACGCATATCTCGCATGTTTTGTTTTTAATGTAATCTCGATTATTCTACTTACCCCTGTATTCAACTGACCCCGGTATCCCCTAAATTGATGTTCTATTGATATTAGGGGAGACCGGGATTTCGTTTATATTTTTATGATAAAAGAAACAATGGAAAAGTTACTGCAAAGTAATTTCTTTTACAACGTAGGTATATATTTCTTCCTAAGTTTCATTTAAATCAAACAAGTATTACAATAGAAAAAGAAAGAAATCTGATTCAAGAGCAGGCAAGTAAATTTTTGAGCACTTCATAATTTTGTATTAATGTCTTTTGGTTTGAGAAAGCAATCTAAACGACGTATCATTAATTAAAAGAAAAGTTTGTTAGCATATAATACGTTATTTTAAGTAATGATAATTCGTTCATTGTTGTAATAAAATGATCAAAATCAGACGTGTCATCAGGGATGAGATATATTGGCTCATATCACAAGAAAAGCTTAGATTAGATTAATTCGCTGTACCGCACGTGTGAACATTCAATTACAATTTAACTCTAATAAAATGCTTTATATTTAATATGAGGCGAATTTATCGCCACTATCCCAGCTGCAAATCAAATATAAATGACGGTTTCTTATCTCAAGTAAAAGAGTAGCACACACACATATATATATATATATACAAGAGCACCGAATATTAGTCCGTGCGAAAGTTCTCAGCTGTTCGAACGAGAGAAAAAAAAGGATAACAGACAGACAGTCACGAGACAGTACTGACGAGCGTAAACAGTGACAACGAAAAGCGAATAATAATTAGAGACGGATTATAAACCGTATTTATTTATCGTAACGGGTATCAAATAATCCGACAACGCAGTCGAGCGCAACACGCTGTAATCCGTTAAGGGAATGAGATGCAGCCGCTGCTAAGAAAATTAAATTAATAAACCACTAGATTGCGTATATTCTAAATTGTATATTTAAAACCTTCTAGAATATTCAAGAAAACAAATCATTTTCTCTGAGTCAAATAAGAATTGAGAAAGAATACTTATCCTTTGGCTCTGAAAAATCTGTCACATGAAATGGTGTCTGTTAACGCACTCTGTAATAAAAGACTTTGCATACGTTGAGTAGATCATTGGCCACATATAACCATCGTGTCTTAATTCCATAAATCAACTAAAAAAATATTTTTATATTAAAATAAGTAGAATTAAAATAATTACACTTATTTTTTAACATTTTGCTATTTGATCATTACAAAGTAAACTTTGAAAGATACAATTTTTATTAAGAAGTACATATCTAATTTTTATTTCTGTTATTTTTCTATTACATTTTTGTTAATTTAATATAAAGTTTATCATAGAAGCAGTTTATACTGTGATATAATTTATCCCACATTTCGGGGCACATAAATTAATT